GGTTTGTATTTGTATGTAAACCACAACTGCACACACACATGTGAGGTATCACGTGTGGTGCAGTGCATGTGCAGGTATCACTGAAAAATATCTGAGTGAGAGCAGTATTTAGCACTGTAGCTTGAAGGTACAGTTGCAAGAAAAAGTATGTGAACCCCTTGGGATTCCGTGGACATTTTTGCATGAATTGGGCATAAAATGTGCTCTGAACGTCATATAAGTCACAACAAATAGAAGAATACAGTCTGCTGAACATAATACTACACAAACATTAGATGTTGCCATGGTTTAATTGCACATAACATGTAAACATACACAGTGCAGGGAGGAGAAAAAGTATGTGAACCTTTGGACTATAATAACTGGTTGACCCTCCTTTGGTAGCAATAACCTCAACCCAACATTTCCTGTAGTTGCAGATCAGACCTGCACAACGATCTGGAGTAATTTTGGACCACTCCTCTTCACAAAAATGTTTCAGTGTAGCAATATTCTTGGGATGTCTGGTGTGAATCGCTCTCTTAAGGTCATGCCACAGCATTTCAGTCGGGTTGAGGTCAGGACTCTGACTGGGCCACTCCAGAAGGTGTATTCTGTGCTGTTGCAGCCATTGTTTTGTTGAATTACTTGTATGCTTTGGGTCATTGTCCTGTTGCATCACCCATCCTCTGCGGAGCTTCAGTTGGTGGACAGATGGTCGTCGAACGTTTTCCTGCAAAATGTCTTGATAAACTCTGGAATTTATTTTCCCATCAATGACAACAATCCGTCCAGGCCCTGAGGTAGCAAAGCAGCCCCAAACCATGAGGCTCCCTCCGCCATGTTTTACAATGGGGATGAGGTTTTGGATGTTGGTGTGCTGTACCTTTTTTTCTCCACACATAGTGTTGTGTGTTCTTCCCCAAACAACTCAATCTTGGTTTCATCTGTCCACAGTATATTTTGCCAGTAGTGCTGTGGAACATCCAGGTGCTCTTTTGCAAACTTCAAACGTGCTGCAATATTCTTTTTGGACAGCAATGGCTTCCTCCGTGGTGTCCTCCCATGTACTCCATTCCTGTTTAATGTTTTCCTTATTGTAGATGTGTCAACAAAATGTTAGCATGTGCCAGAGATTTCTGTAGGTCTTTTAGCTGACACTCTGGATTCTTCTTTACCTCATGCAGCATTCTGCGCTGTGCTCTTGCAGTCATTTTTACAGGACGACCACGCCTAGGGAGAGTAGCAACAGTGCTAAACTTTCTCCATTTGTAGACAGTCTGTCTTATCATGGACACATGAACATCAAGGCTTTTGGAGATACTTTTGTAACCCATTTTCCAGCTTCATGCAAGTCAACAATTCTTGATCGTAGGTCTTCTGAGAGCTCTTTTCTGCGAGGCATGGTTCACATCAGACAGTGCTTCTTGAAACCAGTAAACCCAAAAAAAGGTGTGTGTTTTTTTAAGGGCAGGACGGCTGTCAGCAACACATCCAATATCATCACACTGATTGGAGTCATGGTTGGCTCACTCTGGCTCCAATTAGCTCTGGGAGAAGTCATTAAGCTAGGACCTCACATACTTTTTCCTCCCTGCACTGTGAATGTTTACATGTTATGTGCAATTAAACCATGGCAACATCTAATGTTTGTGTAGTATTATGTTCAGCAGACTGTATTCTTCTATTGTTGTGACTTAGATGATGTTCAGAGCACATTTTATGCCCAATTCATGCAAAACTCCACGTAATCCCAACGGGTTCACATACTTTTTCTTGCAACTGTATTTCTAAACTGTTGAGCAGTAAAGGCTTTTAAAGCATTGCCTATGGAGATTTTTGGGTACCGTAGTTTTTATATCACAGGTGTATGCAATTTTAAGACTTGGTATGTTTGGTATCTAGTTACTCACCGCAACCTCATCTTTTATATTTTACCAAAAATGTGGGTATTATATATTATGTGTGTAGTTGCACTAAAAATATTTTCTTGTATATTTTTCCCCTTGAAAATATGCGTTTGATAAACAATTGCACAACTGCTATCTTTTTATTCTATGGGGCCTCTGCTTTCAGAAAATATATATCAAGTTCTGTGGGTTTTAAGTAAATAATGCTGTTTATATGTGTGCAAATTTAAAAAAATGCTCTAAAGCAGAACTGATTATGGGTTTGTTCAAATCCCTCTGGATGGTGCCCATTTTGCTAGACAGAGAGGGGGCATCTTGATGTTGTTGTTTCAGCAAAACGCACAAATTAAATTTTTTTTTGTACTTTATTGAGAGTGTACAAAGTTACACTCTTTTCAAGTCCCTCACACTGCAGAGCATTGTGCTGTAACGCCATTCAATGCGCTGTGAAAAAAATGCAGCATTTTTCTGCACCACACATTACACCAGCATTGTAGTGTGAACAAAGGACATAAAAAACAATTGTGTTCTTTGTATCCTTGTGATGACTGGTGTTGATTAGGTGCAGATAGTCACAACATATAATGTGAATGGGCCCTAAATGATTGAACTCATTATAGGCATTCAAATTGCATCACACCACTATTCCAAGCCTATCCACTGTTTCAGCCCTGATGAAGGGGGAGGCATTTTCCTTGAAACACATTGGATTTACTTTTTACCTGTGAACTGCAATAAATTCCTTCAATAGTTAGTTCCAATGGGTTCACATACTTTTTTTTGCCACTGGTATAAAAAAAAAATATAATGACTTTTGTAAGCACCTCTGTCATGGTTTGTCCCAACCCCTGTAACTGTTACATTGGTTTCACAGCTTGGTCTGTTACAGGAAGTGGAAAAATAATATTTCTATTGGCAGAATTAACACTTAGTAAAGTGGACTAAAAAAAAACGGCATCATATCTGGTATTATTATGATTAGAGTTCCACTTGAACACAGATTTGATTAGAAGACCGAAGCTGCATGGTGTTTTAAAGCAGAATTAAAGGTTAAAAATATTACCTTAGTTCCAACGGTCTGATACCCTTGAAGTGTTTCGCAGGCACCGGCAGTTTCTCCTCGGCTATTTTTGGTCTTGATTGGCTGGCGTGGGATGACGTAATTCCCGTGCACGCAAAGGAGTATAGGTATCCTAACGCACAGGCAGTGTGCCATAATCTAAGCTGACCTGGGCATGCGAAGCTCAGTGTACATTATACAGGGGGGCTGTCAGGAATGGACTTACCAATAGTGGTGGGACTCACCTGCCTTGTGGGCTGCAGTACCAGGGCTGGCCAGCGGGTGCTCTCAACAACCAGAGGTTCACTTCGGCAATTAGCCATCACCTGGGGCTGATTGCAGGTGTATTTAAGGGATGGCCAGACCTGCAGTCTGTGCCTTGGTGTGTGTTTTTCCATGGGCCCCTGTATCTTGTAACCTGCATTCCTGTTCCTGTTTCTGCCTGACTTGTTGCCGACCCTGCCTGGTCCTGAACTCTGCTGACTTCTCCTGTTTGATCCCTGGCTTGTGACCCTGACCATTCTCTGCCTGACCCCCTGTACCTACCTGTCCGTTAGTTTGCTGTACCCCGCTCGTGACCTGACTACTCTCCGCCTGCTCCTCCTGTACCTACCTGCCCGATAGTTATCGACCCGGCCTGCCTGACTACGTTGTGCTCTATATGTGTATGGACCTGTGTATCTATATCAGTTTAGGTTTGGGTTTGTTTCACCTTGTTGTATGTATTTGTGTTAGCTTGGGGTTTGGTGCACTGCGTTTATATTTGTATTGTTAGTCTTAATAAAGTGTCTTATTTTATACCATATCTGAAGCCTGCGTTTTCCTGTGTCAGTACACACACCTCTGGTCATACCCGGAGCCCTGACAGGGGCTGTGCACAGGCAGGTGAATGTATTTTATTACAGAAGAGACATTGCATATTTGCATATTGCAAAGAGCCTGCCTGTTTGCAGGTTTTTATTTTTTAACTTTAGTTTCACCTTAAGGGCCTCATGGGAGGTGCGCCAAGCTTGCAGAAGAATAGAATTTGAACAGCCAGGGTGATCCACAATAGGATCATTTGGGGCTCTTTCAGACAGGCAGTAATGCTTACTACCCTCTGAAAAGCCATCCAGGGTGGATTTCTCTTCAGAGGGCAGTATAGCAGCAGCTGGTAGGCATTCGGGAAGCACTCATGAGGCCTGTTTTGCTGTGGTCAACTTTATTGCCCACACGGCAGTTTTACATTGTAGGACCGCATTGCAACTGCGTGCCAAGCATTGGGCTCTTGGTTGTGGAGTGAACCCACTGATCACAAAGACTGAGTTTGACAGGTGGTACCGCTCATCAAATTCCGCAGCCCAAATTAAAATTTCCGCAGCTGTGAAGCAAAGCATCGTAGCTATGACATGTGAACAGCCTAGCCAGGCTGTAATGTTAGAATTCAGTTGGACAGCCAGTGCAGTGAAACCACAACCCAGCTGCCAGTGTGAAAGTGCCCTATACATTGAGGTTGTTCACTTTGTAAGTGCTTTTCAATGGAATTTTTCCCAGAGCTTAGTGAATGAGGTTGAAACTTTGCTGACTTCCATCATCCAGTCATGTGCAAGCAAAAGTGTTGTTTTGTCATTTTTCTTGCATTGAATTGAATATTCTTTGCAAAACAAAGAACCTTTACATTCACTAAACTCTGGGCCAATTTTCTCTTGCAAACTAAACAGCCTAGTTACCTTTAGTAAATCAATGCCTTTGTTTTGATTATATAAAAGGGATTAAAACAAAATAAACAATTTCTTTCAATACATTTCTGAGTCACTGAAGAAGTATGCAATACAAATTCTGACTCTTTACTGACTTCCGATCTACGAGCTTAGTTCATATCAACGCAAAACATAAATTATTAAAGCAACTTGTTCTCTCTATAAAGATTTCCTTTAATGTAAAATGGCATACCAAGTCATTATTTTTTACAATAAACAAACAAAATAACTGATTTAGTGTTGCTTATGAGGGTCTTGTCACAATATATGCATAATACGTCACTCCATCATTAAGTCCTAGGTCATGGAATGTCACATTTGGTTGGGCTCCAAGTTTTTCCAAAAAGGAAGTCTGGCATCTGGATCCTCATCAGTGAATTGAACCAGTTTTCCCCCTTTCTTCAGAACCCGTAGGGATTCCAACACCAGTTTTTGAGCCTGTTCACTTCCTGATCGCAGCAGAGAATCAGAGGTCCCTTTGTCCAAGACAAGTGACACACTGCCAGACAGAAAAGCATGGAGGTGAGTAACATCACTTTCTAAATATTCTAGATGGGAATCTTGATGTGCAGGCACAATGGGTGTTTCAGTTAGAAGGCTTTTTCTCATAGTGTGAATTGCAGGAGCAGAGTTATCTATACAGGATATTAGAAGTGGAAGCTGAGAGTCACAAAATAAACCAACTCCGACATCTGAAGTACCACAACCCAAATCCAACACACGTATTGGTGACCCAGAGTGCTCATCCAGAGCAATTTCATTAATAAGGGAGAGTAGAAGACCTTTCAGTTGCTCATAAAACCGAAAAACCAGTCGAAATGTGAAAATCCATTGTGGGAATGTTTGGAGTAGATGTTATCCCAAGTTATTTTGTCACCCATACCATGTCGAAGACTTTCTAATTAAAACATAAAAACGTTATGAGACAAAAGAGCAATTTTATCAGTTTGCTAACTTAATATTGTAAATTGTGTTAAAGTGGATCTGGACTCAAAAAGTGAACATTTACAGTTTTAAAGTGGTTCTAAAGCAGGGGGTGCTCAACCTGTGGCCCTCTGATGTGGTCTTTGACCTCAAACCAGGGAAGAACATGCCTAGGGTCAGAAACTCATTGATTGCAATTTGGGTTTGCAGACTTGCCATCCCAGAACATCAGGATGCATCGAGCAGGTGCCGGAAGCGGAGGAAGCAGGTCGAGGGAGCAGGAACACATAAGCCAATGCTTCCTCTCAGTGGAGTGATACCAAATGCACTTTGCCTCACACCTTTCTAGCAGGCTTTTATAACCACTTTGAAGCAACATCTGAAAAATGTTTATTGTGCATGAGCAGTACTCTAAAAAAGTACCCTTTTCTCGAATTTCTCCTGAAAAATGGCAGTGCAATTCCTAGTACAGTCAGGTCCATAAATATTGGGACATTGACAAAATTCTAACATTTTTGGCTCTATACACCACCACAATGGATTTGAAATGAAACAAACAAGATGTGCTTTAACTGCAGACTGTCAGTTTTAATTTGAGGGCATTTACATCCAAATCAGGTGAACGGTGTAGGAATTACAACAGTTTGCATATGTGCCTCCCACTTGTTAAGGGACCAAAAGTAATGGGACAGAATAATAATCATAAATCAAACTTTCACTTTTTAATACTTGGTTTCAAATCCTTTGCAGTCAATTACAGCCTGAAGTCTGGAACGCATAGACATCACCAGACTCTGGGTTTCATCCCTGGTGATGCTCTGCCAGGCCTCTACTGCAACTGTCTTCAGTTCCTGCTTGTTCTTGGGGCATTTTCCCTTCAGTTTTGTCTTCAGCAAGTGAAATGCATGCTCAATTGAATTCAGGTCAGGTGATTGACTTGGCCATTTCATAACATTCCACTTCTTTACCCTTAAAAAACTCTTTGGTTGCTTTTGCAGTATGCTTTGGGTCATTGTCCATCTGCACTGTGAAGCGGCGTCCAATGAGTTCTGAAGCATTTGGCTGAATATGAGCAGATAATATTGCCCGAAACATTTCAGAATTCATCCTGCTGCTTTTGTCAGCAGTCACATCATCAATAAATACAAGAGAATCAGTTTCCATTGGCAGCCATACATGCCAACGCCATGACACTACACCTACCACCACCATGCTTCACTGATGAGGTGGTATACTTAGTATCATGAGCAGTTTCCTTTCCTTCTCCATACTCTTCTCTTCCCATCACTCTGGTACAAGTTGATCTTGGTCTCATCTGTCCATAGAATGTTGTTCCAGAACTGTGAAGGCTTTTTTTAGATGTAATTTGGCAAACGCTAATCTGGCCTTCCTGTTTTTGAGACTCACCAATGGTTTACATGTTGTGGTGAACCCTCCGTATTCACTCTGGTGAAGTCTTCTCTTGATTGTTGACTTTGACACACATACACCTACCTCCTGGAGAGTTTTCTTGATCTGGCCAACTGTTGTGAAGGTGTTTTCTTCACCAGGGAAAGAATTCTTCGGTCATCCACCACAGTTGTTTTCCGTGGTCTATCCGGGTCTTTTGGTGTTGCTGAGCTCACCGGTGCGTTCCTGCTTTTTAAGAATGTTCCAAACAGTTGTTTTGGCCATGCCTAATGTTTTTGCTATCTCTCTGATGGGTTTGTTTTGTTTTTTCAGCCTAATGATGGCTTGCTTCACTGATAGTGACAGCTCTTTGGATCTGATCTTGAGAGTTGACAGCAACAGATTCCAAATGCAAATAGCACACTTGAAATGAACTCTAGACCTTTTATCTGCTCATTGTAATTGGGATAATGAGGGAATAACACACACCTGGCCATGGAACAGCTGAGAAGCCAACTGTCCCATTACTTTTGGTCCCTTAACAAGTGGGAGGCACAAATGCAAACTGTTGTAATTCCTACACCGGTCACCTGATTTGGATGTAAATACCCTCAAATTAAAGCTGACAGTCTGCAGTTAAAGCACATCTTGTTCGTTTCATTTCAAATCCATTTTTTTGGTGGTGTATAGAGCCAAAAATGTTAGAATTGTGTCGATGTCCCAATAATTTATGGACCTGACTGTATGTGTGGTGTGCTTAGGCATTCCTGTGCATATAGCCTCATAGCTGTGTATTTGCAGTGTGAATCCGAAGCTGGCATTGTGAATGGAGGGATTCCCTTCCCCAAAGGGGAAGTGGTTGAGCAGTATCACTTCTTTGGTGGTGATGGTATCTAAATATTTATCTGTATTATTTAATTCTAATTAGTTCTTTATATGTTTTCCTAATATGGCTTACATTATACATCCAAGTCATGCCTTACAAAAAAAAGGATTGCAGCTAATTGTAAAGCTGGAATTGTGCCCAAAACAACCAAGCCAAAGACAAAGGACTAGTCATCAGCTAAAAAAAACACAAAAAATTGAACTGCCTATAGTTTCCCTGCAGCTGATCTATACTGACTCACCATACCTTGCTCTACTCTGTTTTGAGGTGGCCATCTTTGGTAGAGGCAGGACTTTCTTCCTCTCCAACAAGAACAGTGATCAGCACAGTATTGCCATCAACAAATCTCACTTCAACTCTCCTGAGACTAGCAGTCACAAACACACTGCTTGGGATTCAGACTATAGACATAGCTGTAGGTACAGGAGTGCCTAGGCACCCTCACTTTCCTGGAATTGTACTGCTATGTTTTAGGTAGGATTAAAGACAAAAAGGTAAATATTTTAGGGAGCTGTTTAGGCACAATTAGCATTTCTAGATGCCGCCTATAACAGAGCAAATTAACATTTTTTTTTAATTAAGGTTCACTTTAAAATTTCAAGCATATGGAACCTATGGTCAAGATCTCCCAATACCTACTGACAGCTGTTACTACATTAACTTTTTCTCTGCAACCATTCACCCCTCAACAGTAAAAATCAGTCTGTATATGCAGCAAAGCATGCTTGTTATACTCACTGTGGAATCTAAGGGATTAATAATCTGCATTGTGTAAAAAGGCTGTTTGATCCTGTCTTCTCTGATCCTCCCTTTCTGTTACTGTCCCCAGTCCATCTGCCATAGTACAGAGCAGCATGGCAAGTCTCCACATGCTCTGGTGTGTATTACTAGAGTTTTTCTTCTCAGGAGGGTGCATGTGATCGGCACAGGTTCATTAAGCGCTGTCCGAGCAGAGGGTCAGGGGTCATGCAGCCCCATAGGACAGTCAGAAGAGAATTAAAACTCCTCCTACAAGATTAACCAATGCTCAGCCGGACACTGATAGAGGTCACAAGACTGCTATATACTGCTGATGAGAAAAGGTATTTAGCAGTTTATATTTACTTTCCATGTTTTGTCTACTGTGCAAGACTGGATATAGTAAATACAGGGTCATGGGTTTAGTAACACTTTAAATATTACAATACGATCCATAGAAAAATGCTAGATTTTCAGCCTTTGTAAATTTTACAAAGAACCCCCATAATAAACTTATACTTACCTCCCTTCCCTTTGGTACCAGCATCTGTCCCAAAATGTTGTGTTCTTGGCTGGCGAAGAGATAACCACAATCGATGAAGTCTGAACATCTTCAATGGAACAGAGACTGATCTGCTGTGAAAGGGTACAGATATATTAAAATGTTTGTACATGGCTTTTAACTTTGCAACCTGAATTAAAATTCATAACATTTATGTTGTCTTCCCTTTTATTTAAATGTTCTTGCATGGCAAGACCACATACTGTTATCTCACATATATATTCTTATTATTATAGCCAAATTTACCACCCTAAAACTCCTCCCACAGTTTTTACACTACATACACAGTAATAAACCGAAACGTGCGGATTGTTCCCGATTGGTGTGCTATTACTTTGTGGAAACATTTTGCTGAATGGTTCATGAAATATCAGCGTTTTTGTGGTGAAATTGGTCCCATAGGAATGAATGTCGGAATGTTCAAAACTAGAGTGGGACCTGACAAAAGCTAGAGTGTGAGCTGAAAAATCAGGACATGATTTCTAAACTGCCATCACTCCCTCATTTTCAAGCCCACCTACACAAATCTTATATCAAAACGTTCAGCTATCCCTGCTGCCACTAAAAATGTCCACGGCTAAGCCATAGTCCTGATAGTTTTCACAATATGACCATTTGTTTGCAACTCACGCCTCCCATTGACATTCATTGAAACTCCACTCTAGCCACCTCAATTTGAAGGGCAATTTCTAAACTGCGACTGTGCCTTCATTTTTAATATTTTAGAGACATACTATGCATCAAAATGTAGGTCTGGGTCTTGTGATTCTCACAATATAAAGCTCTTCAGTGTAGGATTTATAATTTTTAAACTACAACCGTTTGAAGATGGCAACCGCCAGTGAAGTGAGCAAGTTGGAGCAGTTTGTTTTTAACCGCTCTTCTCTGCCCTTGCTGTAGAGTGAGTTGCCATAGGAACCCAGGTGTAAGTGAGCAGGCAGCAGAGTGACAAAAGCTAGAGTAGACTACTGGAGGAGGCAAGAACACTTCACACAAATTTCCCCAGAAATTATAGCTTTTCTAGTTAGTATTACAGTCACACAAATACAATATAGCATTTGTGCCTTAAAGTGTAACTCCAGCCAAAAATTTATTTTTTTTGGTTTTTGG